AAATAGTCCTAAGAAATAATATTCATTGCCCGCATGAAATGTTATTTAAGATTAAAATATATTTAAAACAAAAACATGGTTAGCATAGTCGAAAAATGGTCTCTATATTAAATCCAAAAGGGAAGAGAGTGATAAACGGGGTTCGTATCATGTGTGAATTTTACTTCGTCGGAAATTCTGCAGCGCTCAATTTTAATGCCTAAAAAATGATGCACTCAGCAGTGGGTTACGAGTTGATTTGTCAGTTCAATTAAATACACCGAATTAATTTTTATCTAGCTTAACTTGAAATTTAAATCAGAAAAGTCAACGAGTTATTGAATTGACCCGCAATTTATACTGATTTTAATAACAACCAGGCAGAACAATGAAATAATTATGAAATTGCTAATGGTGACACACATGCAGGTGAAATTTAGTATAATATCCAGCATTACATGGAATTTCTCGATTTATTGAATTTTATTAGGTGAATCCATGCGGAATATATGCCCATGTGAATAATTAGAGGTTAACGATATTGTTATATATAAAATTTTAAAAATAAATTAAATTAAAAAATCCGATGAGGTGGAGTGTAGCTGCACATTATTGCTGAAGTGTTTCCAAGGTTCATTGAACCTACACTCTAGAGTGGCGCTTTCCTGCTTTGGTTTCAGTTTTATTCCATGTAACTTGTTCGTCCAATGTAATAAAATGTATTTTAAGTAATGCCTGTAGCATTAATAATGCCGTGTCCAATGGCTTTTCAAGCATATATTCAAGATTAGACAGTGTATTACACTGATTCAAACGAATTTAAACATTAATCACACCTCTCTTCCTTTATATATATATATCAAGTACTTTAAAATAGAAGCCAAGTTGCTAGCATTGAGTGGCAAGCAAACCAAGAAGAAAAAGGATGGCTTCGTCACACGCACATTTATATAAAATGATGCTGCGCAGACAACTACATTGGTAACATTTAGTAATGTTGGTGGAAGATTGTTTGTTTTTGTATTTTTTTTAATTTTTTAAAAATATATTCAATAAAAATATTTTAAAAAAATCGTTATCAAACTATCAGCACCTCATAAATAACCAGAGAGTTTTATCGCATTCCTGTAATAATTTCGGGACGTACGGGATAATGAATGGTTAATGACATTATAATTCTTGCCATTTTAATTTTGGACAATCAAATAGATGAAATATCTTTTAACGCTTAATAAATTAGATCTTCAAAGCTTAATTCTCAAGACCAAAACTGTCAAGATGTCTTTATTAGAAATCGACGTCCCGCTACCATCCATGATCATTAAACCCATGCTTAAAAAAATAATAATTAATTATCATTCTCAACGAAAGGAAAAACCAAATTGATTGACTAAAAAATGAAGATTCTCAATCAGAGAAGGAGCAACAAGGCTGGTTTTTGACATGAAAGGATGAGTTTGTTTTCATGATTGAGGTTTGTGTACAGAGCCCATGAAAAACACTACAAAAAAAACCAAAAAAAAATCTTATATAGATGAGTTTTATACATAATTAAATTATATTTAATCTCAGCCTCAACTTTGATCACAAAATAAACACGTTCTAATAAATTTGGTCTAACAATTAATTCAACCTAATCCGGTTAGAGACTTAGTCTATATTGAATTTTAAATTAAACTGAATAATAATAAATTATTTCATATGGTTGTATTTTGATTTAATTTAAAAAAATTATTTGTATTTTTATTTTAAAATAATTAAGTTAACTTACTCGATTTGAGGTGGTGGGTTTATTAACTTTGATTTTGAAGTTGTGAGCTAATTTGTTTTTTTTAAAAAAAAAAATTATTTGTTTTATATTATTTATTTTTGTATTATCAGATTGCTTTGATTTTTTTTATAAAAAATATTATTTTAATATATATACAAATAAAAATTACTTTAAGGCTACCATAAAACAGCGAGAATGGCATAAGCAAAGCTGGTCATGGTAAAGATAAAGAAAAATGTGACTATTCATCTAACGGCCACAAAATATCTACTGACATACAAGTAAAGCATCTATCATCCAACGACCACAGAACTGCCGTCGATGTCTACTCAACAGTAAAAATCAAAACCTTTTTTTCTTAAAAAGAAAAAGCAAACAGCAGCAGCCGCCACGCAGATGGCGCAAGCAACTGCCTCCTTGTGGAAAAATCCACCTAAAAGTCCCTCTCAGAACTCGACACGTATTACCTCCTGGGAGTCCCACCTTGTCTTGAGAATGGTGGGGGACATGTCCACTCCTCGAATCAAATGATTCAGTCACGTGGCAGCTTACCCCTTCTTCCTTCCTTTATCCGTTCCCTTGCAAATTTTGTGGTCTTTTACTGGTTTACAGCCATCGGATAAAAATAGCTTTAAATATAATTTTAAACAATCTATTAATTTAATCCAAGTTGAAAATTAAATTATATATAAGTTTTTTCTAATATAATTCTATGGAAAGAGTACAGAATTGAAATAAATAAAAGGGGAACGCAAAGAAAAAAATGGAGGCAGGCAATGGAGAAGAAAGAAAAGCCGAAAAAGAGAAGAATGAGTAATTTGATTTTTATAAATGATTTATATAATTATTAACTTTATAATTTATAAGATTAGTTAAAATATATATATATATATATATATATATATATTAGTCAAAAGATATGTAAGCTATCCGAATACTATATTAATAAATAAATAAATAAAAACAGAAAAAGAGGGGAGTGAAGCTACATGTTAAAGCAATAACTTATCACCCCTTGCAAAAATTGCTAGAGGACATGATGATATTTTGGCACTAGAGGACATGGGGAGTGGCCTCTCGTAATTCAAGCCAAGTTCATGATAGTGATGGAGACTCTATTAATTTGATTGTTCCTTCTTGCCCCCTCCTCTTCTTCGTCTGTTCGTCCCATATGGATGCAATATATGGATGCCACCCGTAGTTCTTGAAACGCTGTGTTTTTAGGTCTGGCTCGCCCTCTCGATTCCATTTGGATAAGTGTTGCCGCGGGACTTTACTTGGATATAATAATAATAATAATAATAAATTCTAGAAGTGATGAAATTCCACCGTAAAGTTTATTTTTTTTAAATTCAAAATAATATTATTTTAATTTTAATTAATATTTAAATAGCATAGTTTTAATCAACTCAAATCAAGCCATTCAATCATTTACTTGAATCCTTAACCTGGACATGGATCAAATAGGGTTCAATAATTTTAATCTGGAACCATCCCTTTATTGCTGTGTGAAAGTGCATGGAGTTTGCATTTACTAGAACTTTGGGGTTTAGAGTGGAAATAATAATTTGTTATTGATTCAGTTAATTAAGTATTTGCACTATCCATTCCAATTAATTAAGTATAGTTTTTTATTAATATCATCACCTGTTTCATTTTTTTTTTAATTCGGTTGGATGGGATTTTATTAATAATTTCACCTATATATATATATTTTAAAAAATCTAACCCAAGTAAAGCAAAGCCATACTTAACAACACTATCCCCGACACTTTGGTACAATAGACGATAAAAATCCTCTGCCTCAAAATTCATATTATTATCCCACGAACGATACCATACCATGGTTATAAATTATAATAACGTAACATTATTAAACAAACATTTTAAAATATCTTTCACAAACTTATAAAATCGAGGGGGATACTTTATTGTTTGTTTCCTAATGGTAGTTCATTTTGGCATTGATAATGGCTGTAAAGCTAGGGCCTAGGTGATAAGGTCAACAACTATGCTGATGCTTGGCAGAGTATTGCCAGCTTCGAAGGATGAGAAAATATCAAGCATTGTGTTTATCCGAAGTTCAGGAGGCTTTCATCCAAGTAATTGCTTGTATCTATCATTGGAAAAATAAAAAAAAAATTAGGATATGGCCTGTTCCTATGAATTGGGTCACTAGAGATGAAAGGGGCCTTATATGCAAGGAAGGTCAACCACTCGTGGGCTGCTTTCTCTTTGTTTTCAACAGAACATCCCCAGGCTAACATTTAGCTATTCCCCTTTTCTTTTTTTTCTTTTTCTTTTTTTTAACAAATACATATTCTTTTAGATAAAAAATAAAATAAATCTATCTCATTTAGAGAACCAATTTAATCTATCTAAAAAGTTTTTATTTAAAAATATATATTAAAAAATAATATAAATTATATTTTAAAATTTCACCTAATAACTTAAGATTTGTAGGTTGAATTCATTTTTTGACAATCTTTAAAATAGTTTGAAATGAATTTATATATTTTAAAATATGAAATAATAATATATCTTCTTTGTCTTAATTATATATGTATTTTATACTATGAGATATTTACTAAATGCTATCGTATATAAATATATCTACTCAACTACTATTTATTTTGATTTCAATTTGCAGTGAAATTTATATATTAAAAAATTAAATTAAAAATACATAATAATTTATTTTGATATATTTAAACTATCAGAACTCAAAATGATACATTTATAAAATATGGAATGGAATATATAATTTAGAGTTAAAAAAAGCTGAACACTCTATTGCTCAAGAAATTATTTTGAGTTTCTTGATCAGAATGGAATGCTTCAAAATACAAGTTGATTTTTTTAAAAAATTATTCATTGATACAATTAGGTTGGTGATTAACAAAGGTAAATAACCTAAACAATGTAAGGATCATTGTTTAAAACTAGGAGTTTTTTTTTATTTTAAAAGCACACCATGGCTCTATAATGTTTGAGCAATGTCAAGGAGAACAAGAAGCGTTGCCGTTGCATTTGCAGCCTGGTATTTGGCTGCACAAGAAAACGTTAAGGGCATAGCTTGTTATGCTTCAACATGAGAAGCACTCCCAACATTTTCAACTTCGCAAAAAGTCCCCTAGTGCCTTGCACGTACAACGATGCTACCATTTTTTATGCTAACATACAAAAGCCTGCCCCCCCACCATTCCTTGCATCATAAACAACACAACAGCAACAACAAAGGGTGCTAAACATGTCTTCTGTCAAAGCCTATGGCAAACTTGACGAGGCCGAGCAAGCACGGCTCGAGGCTCGTCGAAGAACCCGCAAAAGAATCACCATCATAAGCCTTTCTTCAATACTTCTTGTTGCCATTGTTTTTGCTGCTGTGGTGGGGACTCGTGCTTCTAGTGGAAACTCAAACAAGGGTGGAGCTGATAAGTCACTTTCCACATCAGTCAAAGCTGTTTGTGATGTCACATTGTATAAGGATTCTTGTTACAATAACCTTGCTCCTGTGGCTAAGCCAGACCAGCTCCAACCCGAGGAGCTTTTCAAATTGGCAATCCAAGTGGCCAAGAATGAATTGTCAAAAGCCTCTCAGCATTTCTCTAAGGATGGAGGGGTGCTTTACAATGGCGTCAAGGATAATATGACAATTACAGCCTTGGAAAATTGCCAAGAGCTTTTGAGTTTGGCATTGGACCATCTTGATAACTCAATATTGGAAGCAGGTCATGGTGTCAGTGTGATTGATATTGTGGATGATCTAAGAACTTGGCTGAGTACTTCAGGCACTTGCTATCAAACATGCATTGATGGCCTTTTGGAGACAAAATTAAAGGCTACTGCTAATGATTATCTCAAGAGTTCAAGTGAATTGACTAGCAATAGCCTGGCAATCATCACTTGGATTTCCAAGGTTGCAAGCTCAGTGAACATCCATAGGCGCTTATTGAATGACGAAGACCAAGAGATGCCCAAGTGGCTGCATCCAGAAGCTCGTAAACTGCTTCAGAGTTCAGATTTGAACAAGGCTGATGCTATCGTGGCTCAAGATGGGTCTGGAAAGTACAAAAGAATCACTGATGCCCTCAAAGATGTTCCTGAAAAAAGCCAGAAGAGGTATGTGATCTACGTGAAGAAAGGGATTTATTTCGAAAATGTTCGTATCGAGAAGAAGCAATGGAATGTCACGATGATTGGTGACGGAATGAATGCAACAATTGTATCTGCGAGCCTGAACGTTGTCGACGGAACTCCTACATTCTCAACTACAACATTTGGCAAGTCCTTATTCTTGTCCCACTCAGTACTAATCCTCCTATATTGGTTGCGTGCTAACCAAAATTTAGCTATGGCGACAGAGGTTAGAAACTTAGAATTAGCTAAATGGCTGACAATCATTTTCCTTTTTCTGCAGCTGTGTTTGGGAGGGGATTCATTGCTAGAGATATGGGGTTCCGTAACACAGCCGGTGCAATCAAGCATCAAGCAGTGGCCTTGATGTCAAATGCTGATATGTCGGCCTTTTACAGATGCAGCATGGATGCTTTTCAGGACACTCTCTACACACATGCGAATCGGCAATTCTACCGTGAATGCAACATTTATGGAACAGTTGATTTTATCTTTGGAAACTCAGCTGTTGTCATTCAAAACAGCAACATACTACCCAGGAAACCCATGGAAGGCCAACAGAACACCATCACTGCACAAGGCAGGATTGACCCTAATCAAAATACCGGAATTTCAATTCAAAACTGTACCATCTTGCCTTATGGGGACTTGAGTTCTGTCAAGACTTACCTTGGCCGACCTTGGAAGAATTACTCAACAACTGTATTCATGCGTTCGATGATGGGGAGCTTGACCGACCCTGCTGGATGGCTGCCATGGACAGGAGATACAGCACCTCCTACCATATTCTACGCTGAATTTAAGAATTTCGGGCCTGGTGCTTCAACAAAGAACAGGGTTAAATGGAAGGGCTTGAAAACCATTACCAATAAACAAGCTAGTAAATTTACAGTGAAGGCATTCATCCAGGGAGAGGGGTGGCTCAAAGGCACTGGTATTAGCTACAAACCTGGTCTCTGACAGTGATACGTATCGCAGAGAACATTTCCTTTTTTGTGTTCCTTTCATGTTTCTGTTCCCTTTATGTTGTTTTCCTATACCATTTTTTGTCAATACTTTTTACCTTGCAAGGTTGATTGATTGTAAGTTAAGTTTGAAACAAGACTACAATCTCAAACAATGAAATTTATTGGCTACATAAGTTACTGCTAAATACCATATATTTTATTAATTTGATCAGACAGTCCTTACAATCTGCCTTATCACTGAATAACAAGAAATCCAGGAAGTGTCGACTCGAGAAGAATGAAAAATATTGTGAAGCAATAAGGTCCCTATTTATAATCAAAGTAGTCCTCCAGAGAAGGGTATGTCAGTGTAAGGCAACCAAATATCACCCGTTGTTAAATTGTAGACAGTAAAATTCGCAGCTTGCGTAGCATTCATCAGATTATAACCAGGCCATTTCACTCTCCTGCTAGTGTTTGCACCAGGCCCATAATTCTGAAACTCACCATAGTAAATAGTGTCTAATCCAACAGTTCCATTCCATTCTAGCCATCCAGCTGGCTGAATCAGCTCTCCGATATACGATTGCATGATCACAGTTCTAGAGTACACCTTCCAAGGTCGCCCCAAAAAGTTCGAAGTGGAGTTCCTGCCTGTCGAGTTCTTGTCCATAGCCAAATCAGGTGCAGCCTCAATTGTGCAATTTTGAATGGAGATCCCAGTATTTTGGTTTGGATCAGTACGGCCTTGCGCAGTGAATGCATTCTTCTGGTTAAGCAATGGCTTGCGAGCATATAAATTGCAGTTCTGGAAGACAGCAGCAGCATTTCCGAAAATGAAATCTACAGTTCCATATATATCACATTCCCTGTAGAATTGCCTCAAGGAATGCACATAAAGAGTATCCTGATAGCCTTCAAAGCTGCACCGGTAAAAAGTGGAGAGATCAGCATTGTTCCTCAGAGCTACTGCTTGGTGCTTCTGAGGACCTGCCGTGTTCCTGAACGTCATGTATACTCCCACAAATCGCTCCCCAGAAACAGCTGCAGCATAAAATCGAAATTCGTCAGGACCTTAAACATCAGTGGGAATTTAGTCTTCAATTATAAATTGAGGTTGTATTTGGTTAATATCTCAAGACAGAAAATATAGATACAGAAGAGGCAAGAGCAACCAAACAGCAAAGCGGTCATTCTCTCACCAAAAGTGGAAGAATTAAAGGTTGTCCAGCCATCAACTACACTATGGTTTCCCGTGATGACGGTCCGATTAATCCCTTCTCCAATCATCATTATGTTCTTCTTCTTTTTGGGAACAACAACATACTCCTCATAAATCCCCTCTCTAACAAATATTACAAAGTAGCCATCTTCAGGTTTTGAACTGTTCGGAGCAAATGCAATGGCATCTGTAATGGTTGTAAAGTTGTCATCACCATAAGGGCCAACAATCACTGAATCATTAAGAAGAATCCCGTCGTCAGCATCGCCAGAAAGGATGCGTTCTTCCCTGTGGCAATTGCTTGATTTATGGCAGGATGCTGTTTTCTTTAGAGCCTGCAAATCATGGGTTCATCAGTTTCTTCATCTATACAAGTAATTAAAATCAGAAACACAATTAATTAGTGTCCAATCCAAGGCCATTTTTTCTTTTCTTGTCCTTCTCGGCTGAACCATATAAATTATTGAGAGTCCATTATAAGTCTATACATCGATACTAAATCTCTTTATATAATTTTTTAGTTTAAATAATAGAGTATCATTATCTATGATACTACATCTCTTATCAAACATGAAGGAAGAACAAAATATCTTTATATAATTTTTTTTCCTGATCTGAAACCCGAAGTGATAATAAAAAAGAAGGCCCACGGATTCAAAATAGCAAGGGGGTATATATAATTAATTCTACGCTATTGATTATAATTTATAAACGGATCTCCCATAATTTAATTATTGTGTAAAGAGTTGACTTTAAGAAAATTCAAAGATGCATTTAGATACACAAACACGTGACATCCTCTGGCAGTAGCGTGCTTGTTCTCTCAAATAATTGACTAAAATAGTTGACCAACACGTGAAGGAAACCTTTTCCCCCAAGCATCACACTACAATTATTTTCCAAGCTCTTCTACTTGTCTCTACGCAATTTTATTTTATTTGTTATTAATTATAATTTGTAGTTAATTGTAATTTATTATTAAAGACAGCAATAAGACATCCATTAAATCCTCTAGCCTCAGATTCTGTCTGCTATATTCATATATAGTAATTTCTTTCGCAATATTATTTATAATTTATTTCTTGTAGCCAGAACTAGATGCCCTCTAATGCCATTTGTGATTTGGTAATCTTGCAAGGTTTAAAGAAATCCGAAATGCTTTTAGAATAGAATTTTTATTTTTTATTTTTATTTTTACTAGAAAAAGCTTCGAGCAGCATGAAGAATATATATATAAAGATTCCCTAGAGCTTAGAGAATTTCTTTATAAAAACAATTTTATATAATAATAATAATAAATCACATCAATGAATCAATTAAGTGTCTATAGCGTTTTTTAAAAGTATTTTTAAAAATGTATTATAATATTTTTTATTTACAAAATAGACTTTTTAAATGTACATAAACACTATATATATATATATAAGGATTTAAGCTTGGAGTAAGTAGCTAGATCATGAGTTGCCAAACTTCAAATTTTCAAAAGGTGAGTGAAGATCACACGTAGACATCCCATGCCATATGGACTCAATTTTGATTTTAATACTGGCTACAAAAATTGTTGGGTCTAGCAATTTGGTCCTGCGCAAACAGTTGTATTGCAAGCCCAATTTGCTGGGCATTGACTACCGTAAAGTGGCTACTGGCTAGTCTTCCAAGTGTACTGGTCATTTTACTAGTGTATATACAGACATTAACTTATTTGACCGGGTATATACTTCATTTTTAAACCAGTATTTTTAAAAAAAGTTTTATTTTTTTTTGTTTTAAATTATTTTTTTTTAATTTTTTTCAGATATCAAAAATAAATTTTAAAAATAAAAATATATTATTTTAATATATTCTTAAATAAAAAAATAATTTAAAAAACAACTACCTATAAACATGCTATTAGGCCCCACATGGGGAAGTGGCTGGCCTTTTCTTTTACTCAGTTCTATCGCGTCACACGAGGAATGTTAGTTAGGATCTGCTCAAGTTTAGGAATACTTTTAATTAATGTTTGCCTGCACCAAGAGCGGCCATCTGAGCCACAGTGTAGACTGTATTCCTTGGTTTGCGTATGCATTAATTTTTCTCCTAAATCACTAGGTTAATGTTCTAGTATTACAGCTCAATCTAGAAAGCTGTGAGGCTCCATGGCCTCAGCCAAGTGTTTTTTTTCTTCTTCTTGTTTTCTCCCCTTTGTTAATAGCCTAAGCTAAGCTTAGGTCCAAGCGAGATTTCATAGAGTTAGACTTGACCAAGATAGACCAGTACCCTTGTTTTCAAAATAATCACATAAATCGATCATAAACAGTTGCTAGCAAGAGGAAGAATTTCATGATACCTTGATAAGAGTTTCCAGTGGTTCACGAACCCCCTTCCTCAAGATTCCACGATGATGAGACCCTTTTCTTCCCTTGTTCTTCTTCAAATTCTTCCCCAGTGAATGTGTGACCAAAGCTAGAGAGACACTGTACAATTGAGTGCCATTAGAGAGAGGCACAGACAGAGCACTGGCAATGCTGCTCTTGGACTGAACCAACCCGTCGTAGCAAGATTGTTGGTTGGTCACTACCCCACTGAGCAAACTCTTGACTCTCTCAACCAGCACATCGTTCATTGACGCGGCTGATTTCAACTCGCTAGATATGGTCTCAAAGTAGTCCACGTTGAGTTCCATGAGCTCATGGCAATCTTGCAAAGCACCAAACTCTTCATGGGTCATCTTGGAACGTTGGTTTTTGTGCGTTAAGTGATAGTTTATCGCTTTAGACAATCTTTTTGCTTGTTTATGGCATTGTTTGACTGAAAACTTGCTGTACTCATAAGGGTTCGAAGAAGATGAAGGGAATGTTTTTAAGATTGAACGACAAAGCTTAGGATAGAGGGTGGATTTGCATGCATCGGAAGGCGATTGTGGTGGTACCGGTGGTGGTGGAGATTGAGAGGAGATTAACAAAGGTGAAAAGATGGAAAGAAAGGCAAAGAAGAGAAACAAGAATGGTGGGTGTTGCATCTTGACTTAATGTCTACAAATTAAGTGTTTGCAAGTGAAGAGAAAGGCATGGCATACATGGGCTTTAAATAGAGAGGGAAAACGCGTTATAATTATTGGAGGCAGGGGAAGGTGGCGTTTGTTTGTGGGATTTGAAGAAATATATTTATTTTAGGTTAGGGATGTGTTTGGAACTTGCTAAGAAAGGCAGCATTCACTTGATGAAAAAATAGGGTTACGTAGCTATTGAACTCATGATTTTTTTAATGGCAGTCATGTGAGTCCGTTCAAATCACTAAAACTGGACTCAGTTGGCTCACAAAACCAAACAGTTTTTTTAGGCTGGAATTCTTACTGGAGCACATGAATGGTTGAATCTTTGAATGGGACTCGTATGTTTGCGGAGAAAGGCTAATCACATTGACTACAGCATTATCATATGGCTTTGCAATCCCTGTTCTCATCTCCTTCTCCTTTCATTATTATAACATAAGTTAAATAATATAGAAAAATCATCAAAAAAAATTTATTGTAAATTATAATAATAATCTCATTTTATTTTTTTATGATATATTTCTTTGGTTATTTGTTTTTTTCCTTAACAATTAAACTGTTTGGGTGTATTTAGTACTAAATTTTAAAAGTATTTTTAAAAAAGTTTAAATATTTTTTTAAAATTAATATATTTTTAAATTATTTTAATGTGCTGATCTTAATAATAATTTTTAAAAAATATTATTAATATATTTTTTATATGAAACACACTTTAAAAAATAATTATAATCATATTTTTAAATACATATAAATATATTAATTATTATTATTGTTATTATTAATAATAATAAATTTAATTATAATAAGTTTGCCTGACTCAAATTTACTTTAAGCATATTAAATTTAAATAATTTTTAATATTTTTTTAATTTAAAAAAATAATATTAGACCGCATGATAATTTAATATTTACTGTTGTTTTAGCCATTGCTGATCCAGCTAGGATCAGGCTGAGGGAGGTTACAGTTCAGAGCCTGACTTGGGCGGGTTTTTTCAAGTACAAGCTCCCAGGTTCAGAGCCAAGCTCATCTTAGCACCTTACCTTTAGGACAAAGTTTTATAAGGGACATGTCGTCAGAAAAGTACATGATAATTCAATTTAAAGTTCATTTAGTTCACATCATTAATATATACACCTCCTCTATCCACCCTCTTAAATTCTCTAATGGAATCCAGATTTAAGAGGGAAATCACCAGCAGAACAATGACTTGGTAGGACAGCAAATTAAGAGGAAACATGGTGGCCAAATTGAAGAAGTAAAATTAAGCTTGAAGAATGGTGGTTTATTTCTGATGCTTTAAAATTGAAAGGTCGTAACTCCCAAGTTCCTAACTTCAGTAATTGATGACTACCTCAATGAAAGCACTTTTCATCTATGCTAGGCTAGGCACTTCCTTGGTAATAGACAGTTACTGTAGATAAAATGGATCAAGAATCCAATCACAAGAACTACTCACCTAACTTCGGGGTTAGGCTTATTAAAGTTAATGTTATTAAATTTAAATGATTTGAAAGTTTATTCAATAGTTTATTAATTCATAGTATAGTCTTAAATCTAAGTGATTGAGGAATTTATTTGATAGCTTATTGACCTATAAAATAGCTCAAATTAGACTTATCAAAGTTAATGTTATTAAATTATCTAGGTAGTGGTCAAGTGGTAAATACTTGAAATTAAGGAATTTGTTTTCTTTGTGATTTTATATTCAAGTCCTTAGTTGCTCATATGATAACTACTGAAGATTTACATGATTGTTAATTTCAGAGCCCGTGAGATTAGTCGTGATATATGCAAGCTGACTCGGACCACGTTAATTTAAAAAAAAAAGAAGCTAATGTTGTTAAATCTAAATGATTCGAAAGTTTATGTATGACTTAATTAAATTCAGATGAGATTCATTTACGTAGTCTAAGCTAAATTTACCAAAGTTAATATTGTTAAATCTAAGTGATTAAAAAATTTATTTAATAGTTTATTGACCCATAGAATAGCCTTAATAATGTTAAATCTAAATGATTGGGAAGTTTATTTGATAGCTTATTCAACTATAGAATAGCTCAAACTAGACTTACCAAAGTTAATGTTATTAAACTATCTAGGTAGTGGCCAAATGGTAAGGACTTGGGATGAAGGAATTTGCTTCCTTTGTGATCTCATGTTCAAATACTTAGTTGCTCATATGATAACTATTGAAAGTTTACATAATCGTTAACTTTGAAACCCGTGAGATTAGTCATGATACATACAAGCTGGCCCGGGCCATGTTAATTTAAAAAAAAAAAGAAGTTAATGTTGTTAAATCTAAGTGATTCGAAAGTTTATTTATAACTTAATTAAATTCAGATGAGATTCATTTAGTGAATTTTAAGGTATTGTTTTAATTTTTATTTGTAGTAATTTTTTTAATTTAAAATAATAATATTTTTATTTTTTAAATTCTAGAACAATATTATTTTATGATAGACCAAGATTAACCACCAACTTATAAATTAACTTAATTAATTTACAACAATGTAAGTGTCTAATAACTATGTATAAATCACTTACCTTCATCTCATCCTGGCAAGCGCGTGCGCGCGCACACAAAGAAGCAGCATCCATGAGTATAAAACATGCCATTTTGTAAACTTGGCATTCTTTGGCAAACACACACACGCGTAAAGAAGCAGCATCCATGAGTATAAAACATGTCATTTCCAAAGCAAACTTGGCATTCTTTAGCAAAACATTTGCTCCCGAAAAACTACAGTAGAATATGCTTTCTAGCTAGGAGCTTCAACTATGATGATTTTAGAATATTTCTTAAAGTATCATATCAGCAAGGAAAAGCTTCTCACACCACCAATCGCAGAAGACTCTAAATATCATTTTACTGCAAGAATATCATGCATGCTTTCCTTCTAAATATTTCGATATAAATGGCAAAATTTAGTTGCCTCTTATGTCTTCTAGCAGCTACAGTCAGTTTATCGGTACCCTGTCCGCGGAAAAGAAGGTTAGGCAACATAGTATGGAGAGCTCGTGATGAAAGCAAAAGCAGTTAGAACTGTTGGAGAACTCACCATTATGAATCAAAACAATCATCAAACACTGTACACGAACTCGCTTGTTATCTTCTTGTTAGAGGCAAGCACTCTTCACTTGCAACTCTCATGTTAAAGCCTGATAATGCCTTTATTAATCCATCATTATTAGTAACTCGTACGCCTACCATGAATGTTGCGCATACCGGCCGGTGGTCGGAAAACCTGGACTCTCCACGTACGTAAGATATTTGACGAATCCCATCTCCATACCAAAGAATTCTATCACACCTGCAATTTTGTTTAACTATTCAACTTTTTTGTAATTTTTTTTTTCATTTCAGTAATATAAGTGTAGGTTTTTTCTGAATATACCATGCTGGAGTTCTTCTTTTCTTTTGTGTTTCGATGGTCTCTCCAGCGTAAATGTCTGAGTTATAGGAGTATTTGTACGTTGGCGCGAAGTAGATCTTTCCCTCTTTCCATCCTCTAAACACTCGCCCTGCTTCCCTCTCAATTTTCAGCTGCCAGAACATGGACCGAATTCAGTTCGAGTGTGCAGCAAAAAGGGAGGAATTAAAGCTCAACACACCTCCGGAGAGAGTAAATACTGTGGCTGTTAGTACAATATGCTGATGTTTCATACAGTAACAAACATTCCTCATGCTTTTTTTCCGTGTTAAGCTCCATATACCATAACATTCTATTGAATAATAATGAACACGTGTTAAGCTCCATATACCATAACATTCTTGTATTCCACCCAGATGGTTTCGGTTTTTTTTCCGTTAAATTACAAAGATTCGCACAAAAAGATAAGGAAAAGATTTGTTCTTCAGTGCTGTAGAGAACAGAATATTTGATGACATTTTCACATTGCATACAACTCCTTCCAGTGTTATTCTATTCAACGTAAAGGAAGGTACCTGATCTTTGTCAAAAAGTTTGTCCCAGTTATACTGCTCCAGAAGCCTTCGAGTCTCGGAGTAGCTCAAAGCTATCCTGTAATTCAAGTCCCCTAACCATATGACCCGACTAGGGCCATCAAAACAGATTTTAAAGAACATAGATGAGTAGAGTATCAAGGGATTCAATTAAGAAAGATTTTCCAACGACAGGATTAGACTATTAATTGTTCAATGATTTCAGAGATGCTTACTCATGTTCCATGATTTTTTCAGGTATCCGACTACATGGAGATTTGCATATCCTTGAAAATTGTGTGTTCTTAATTATCTCTATGACATCCAAATTTCTCCTACGTTCATCTCCTTCTTTCTCTCCCGACGCCAAGTGACTACAAACAAAGCAGAAGCTTGTCTGATGGAAAGACATGCTAACAGATATACACCCCTGCAACCAGAGAATTAAACATGATTTCAAATGAGGAAGGTCTGTGATTCTATCTTGATTTTCAACCATGAACCATGGATAGCTTATGTTCATAAACAATGCATGTCTGTGTCTTAAATTACCTTGTTCCCAAGACAGCCTAAGATCCCACGGCCAACGTTAGAGATTCTCAAATGGCTTACATGTTGCACAAGCTCCTTCCTGACCCAAACAGTAACAAATATTCCGACCATTTGTTTCCCTGTTATAAGGCTGTACTTCATCTGGTTGGCACTACCTGGATTGGAAATTTCTGAAGATACATAATTGCTAAGTCCATCTTCATCCTCTTCCGAGGAACAGTAATCCTCGGTCATATTTGTTGATGGGGGCCAAACACAGCAATCCCTGCTATACTTCCTTTCCAATATGGGAGAGCAGTTGCAAGTCTTCAGCCTCCGTCGACTCTCAGTCCTGAAAGACTTGCAGACCTTTTTAAGAGAAGGCTTTTGGAAGAGAAGTGAGCTGCAAAGGGGTGATTTTGATCCTCTTGAAGCCACACTATATGTTCTATTCAGTGATTGATTAATTAAAGCCAGCCATTTTGCGGCTGGCTCGCTGTCTTCTGCCACAAGCACATTTCCAGCGTTCAACGGAACAATTTCCTGAAAACTGGCAAT